TCAGTATTGTTGTCTGTTCCAGGTTGTTTGGCTTTCCAAATAAACATTTTATAGAAAATTTATTTAAACTAAAAAAGAAAACAAAAACAATTCACCCATTTCTCCTACCCCCACCTTTGTTTCTGGCAAACAACAATCTCTTCTTTGTGTCTGTGAGATTGTTTTTTTTTTTTTAATTTCTAACATTTTACTTAAATAGTAACACGTTTCAGTAATTTTAAATATGTATTTTAAACTTGCATATAATCCTTTTTTTTTTTTTTTTTAATTTTTTCTTCCCCCCCGCCCGGTCTCTCCCCTCCCTCCCATCCCCCCCCCCAGTCCTCATCTCTGTGTCTTTTCATACTTGTTCCTCAAAATCCCTCCCTTTTTCCCCTTAAGTTCCCTTCCCTCTCCCCTCTGGTCACTGCCCACTTGTTCTCTATTTCACGTCTTTGTTTTTTCTGTTTGCTTGTTTTTTATTCTTTAGCTTCCTTAATTTAGATCATATAGGTATTTGTCCTTCAATGCCTGGCCTATTTCACTCCAGCCTTAATGCTTTCCAGTTCCATCCATGTTGTTGCGAGGTAGCTCCTTCTTTTCTCTCTGCTGCATAGAATTCCATGGTGTATATGTACCACAATTTTTGGATCCATTCATTTACTGATGGGCACCTAGGTTGCTTCCAACTCTTGGCTATTTAAATTGTGCTGCTATGAACATTGTGGTGCATAGGTTCTTTGAAATTGATGTTTTAGGATTCTTGGGGTATAATCCTCAATTGGAATTGCTGGGTCAAAAGGCAGGTCCATTACATTTTTCTGAGAAAATTATGTGTTTTCCATAATGGTTGTAAGTCTGCAATCCCACCAACAGTGAACTAGGAGCCCCTTTCCCCTCTCCAACATTTGTTGTTTGTTCTTTGTCTATAGCCATCCTGACTGGTATAAAGTGGTATCTCATTGTGGTTTTAATTTGCATCTCTCTGATAGCTAACGATATTGAGCATCTCTTCATGTGTCTCTGGATATTCTGTATGTCTTTAGAGAAGTGTCTGTTCAAGTCCTTTTCCCATTTTTTTGGGTTCCATAACTTCCTAGAGTGGAGTCGTGTAGTTCTTTGTATATTTTGGAGATTAAACCTTTGTCTGAAATTATCATTGTGTCTGTTTTTCCTTCCTGATTGAGTTGTCTTTTAATTTAATACTGTTTTCTTTGTGGCCATGCAGAAGCTTTTATTTTGATGAGATCCCATTTGTTTATTCTTTCCTTTATATTCCTTGCTCTAGGGCACATATCCGTAAAAATGTTGCTCGTGGAATATCTGAGATTTTGCCAATGTTCTTCCTCTAGGACAGTAATTGTCATGACATATTTCTATCCACTTTGAATTTATTTTGGTGTATGAGTGTAAGTTGGTGCTCAAGTTTCATTTTTTTGCACGTAGCTGTCAGTTCTCCCAACACCATTTGCTGAAGACTATCTTTACTCCATTTTATGTTACTGCCCCTTTGTCGAATATTAATTGACTGTGGGGTTGGGTTGATTTCTAGGCTCTCTATTTCTGTTCCATTGGTCTGTGCCTGTTTTTATGCCAGTACCAGGCTGTTTTGATTACAGTGGCTTTTTTGTAATACAGTTTGATATCAGTGTTGTGATCCCTCCTACTTTGTTCTTTCTCAAGAGCAGCTGCTATTCGAGACAGATTTATGATTTATATAAATTTTTGAGTGTTTGTTCTATGTCGAAATACATCATTGGTACTTTAATAGGTATAATCTTATTGCTTTGGGTAGTATGGACATTTTGATGATGTTAATTCTTCCAATCCATGAACACGGTATATGTTTCCATTTGTTTGTGTCTTCCTTGATTTCTCTTCGTGCTGTGTAGTTCTGCATACAGGTCTTTTACCTCTTTGGTTAGGTTATTCCCCAGATATTTTATTTTTCTTTTTGCTATAGTGGTTTTTCCAGCAGTTTCTGCTTCTGCTGATTCATTGTTTGTAAAATGCCTTTATTTCTGGATATTGACTTTGTATCCTGCTGTTTTGCCAAATTCATTAATTAGTTTGAGCAGTTTTTTGGGTAGAGTCTATAGGATTTTATGTACACTATCATGTCATCTGCAAACAGTGACAGTTTTGTTTCCTCCTTTCCTATTTGGATGCCTTTTATTTCCTTTTCCTGCCTGATCGCTGTGGCCAAAACTTCTAATATTATATTGAATAGAAGTGGTGAAAGTGGACATCCTTGTCTTGTTCCTGATCTTAGTGGAAAAGCTTTTAGTTTTGTCCATTGAGTATGATGTTGGCTGTAGGTCTCTCATATATGGCCTTTATTATATTGAGGAATGTTCCCTCTGTTATTTTGCTGAGTGTTTTTATCATAAATGGGTGTTGTGTACCTTGTGAAAGCTTTTTCGCATCTATTGATATGATCCTTATGGTTTTTGTCTTTGCTTTTGTTTATGTGATGAATTACATTTTACTGTTTTGCGAATGTTGAACCATCCTTGCATCCCTGGGATGAATCCTTGGTCATGGTGTATAATCTTTTGGATATATTGTTGGATGTGATTTGCCAATATTTTGTTGAAGTTTTAGCGTCTATGTTCATCAGCGATAATAATGAGAAGTTTCTTTCTTTGTTGTATCTCTATCTGGTTTTGGAATTAGGATGATGCTGGCTTCATAAAAGGAGTTTGTGAGTTTTCCATCCTTTTGGATTTTTGGAATGGTCTGTGTGAAGAATGGGGTTGGCTCTTCCTTAAATGCTTTGTAGAATTCTCCTGTGAATCCATCTGGTCCGGGGCTTTTGTGTGATGGGAGTTTTTGATTACTGCTTCAATTTCTTTCTGTTATTGGTCTATTCAGGTGTTCTACTTCTTTTCATTGAGTTTTGGGAGATATATTTTTCTATAAATGTGTCCATTTCCCTAGGTTCTCAAATTTCTTGGCATACAGTTCTTCATAGTAATTTCTTACAATCCTTTCTATTTCTGTGGTATCAGTTGTAATCTCTCCTCTTTCATTTCAGATTGTGTTTATTTGTGTGCGTTCTTCTTTTCTTGATGAGCCTACTTAAAGGCTTGTCTATTTTATTTTATTTTTCAAAGAACCAACTCCTGGATTCATTGATCTTTAGATTGTACTTTTAATCTCTATGTCATTTAGTTCTGCTCTGATCTTGGTTATTTCCTTCCTTCTACTTGCTTTGGGATGTTTTTGTTGTTGTTCCTCGAGTTCTTGCAGGCGTAGAGTAAGGTCATTTGTTTGAAATATTTCTGTTTTTTTTAGGTAGGCCTGTATTGCTATAAACTTCCCTCTCAGGACTGCCTTGGCTGTATCCCCATAAGTTTTGGGTTGTTGTGAGATCATTTTCATTTGTTTCCAGAAACTTTTTGATTTCTTCCCTAATTTCATTCTTGACCCATTCATTGTTTAATAGCATACCGTTCAGTCTCCATGATTTTGGGTGTTTTGGGTTTTCCTTTGGGGTTGGTTTCCAGTTTCAGTCCCTTATGGTCAGAAAATGCTTAGTATGATTTCAATATTCTTAGCGAATTTTTGGGGGCTTGTTTTGTGCCCTATCATGTGGTCTATCTTTGAAAATGTTTCATGTGCATTTAGAAAAGAATGTGTATTTAGCTTCTTTGGGGTGAAAGGCTCTGTATATATCATTTAGGTCCATTTCATCAGGGTGTTGTTTAATGCCGCAAATGTCTTTGTTGATATTTTGTTTGGAAGATTTGTCCATTTTGATGATAATCAAATCCCCCCTATAATTGTAATACTGTCTCTCTTTCTTGAATTTCTCTAAGATTTTCCTTGTATATTTTGGTGCTCCTATGTTGAGTGCATATATATTTATGATGTTAATGTCTTCTTGGTGGATTCTTCCCTTGAGTATTATGAAGTGACCTTCTGGGTCACTCTTTGTAGCTCTTTTTTTGAAGTCTATTTTGTCTGATATGAGTGCTACCCCAGCTTTTTCTTGTCCATTTTGCTTGAAAAATTTGTTTCCATCCTTACCACTTTTAGTCTGTGATGGTCTTTTGTCCTAAGGGTGGGTCTCTTTGTAGGCAGCATATGTGTGGATCATGCTTTCTGTATTGATATTCTGTGTCTTTTATTGGAGCATTTAATCCATTTACATTTAAGGTTATTATTATTAGGTACTTATTCATTGCCATTTTTGTACCTGTGTTCCTCTCTGTCTTCTTCTTTTCCTTCCTTTCCTTAAAGCAGACCTTTTAGTATTTCTTGTAGAGCTGGCTTGGTGGCAGCAAATTCTTTTAAGACTTCTTTTGTCTTGGGCTACTTATTTGGCCTTCTATCTTGATTGAGAGCCTTGCTGGGTAAAGTAGCCTTGGTTGTAGGCCTCTGTTTCTCATTACTTGGAATATTTCTTGCCATTCTCTTCTTGCTTGGAGTGTTTCCATTGAGAGTCAGTGGCTAACCTTATTGGGGGCTCTTGTGTTATTTTTTTCTCCCTTACTGCCTTTAGATTCTCTCTTTGTGTCTTGGAATTTTGCCCTTTTAATGATGATGTGTACTTAGTGGGCCTCCTTGGGTTCCTCTTGATTGGGATATGATTCCTGGATTTGTCTTGACTTTTTTTGTCAAATTAGGGAGAATTTTCTCTCATTACTCCAAATATGTTTTCTATCTTGTTCTTCTTCTCCTTCTGGTATTTATTATTCGGATATTATTACGTTTCATATTGTCTTGCATTTCTCTTAATCTCTCTTCATTCTTTCTGAGCCTCTTTTCCCTTTCCTATTTCTTTCTGTGAGATGCTTTCTACTTTGTCCTCCAATTCACTAATCCGATCTTCTCTTTCATCACCCTATTTTTAATACTTTCCACTGTGTTTTTTAATTCAGAGATTTTATTCTTCATTTCCTCTTGGTCCTTGTTAATAATTTCCATTTCCTTTTTCATGTTGATATAGTTCATTAGGCTCATTGTAGCTTCCCTGTAGTTTCTGGTAGCTGATTGTGACTCTTTGAACTTCCTAAAAATATGTCAGAGGCAACTTTAAATTTGCGTGTCATCCTTGTGCAGGGATCATGCTAATCTTCTCTGTATCGTTCCAATTTTAAGTATATGTGCTGCCGAAGCAAGCA